TCACTATACAGGGAGAACAAGTCTGGAGAAAGTACGCATCCTTGTCTGTCTCCTCTTTTAATCTGTATGTATTCGCTGATGCTGTTTTCTATTCTCATTGCAGCAGTTTGATCCCAGTACATGTTCTTGATAATCCTTAAGTCCTTCCCGTCGATATTGAGGACTTCCAGCATGTCGATGATCTTGCCGTGCCTAACTTTGTCGAATGCCTTGGTGTAGTCTATAAAACATAAATGAAGATCTTTCTGAACTTCTAGGGCACGTTCTATTGTTGTTCTGATGACATATATGGCATTTACAGTGCCTTTGCCTTCAATAAATCCACATTGTTCTTGGGCTATTTCTGGGAGAATTTTATTTCGTATTCTCACCATAATTATTCTAAGTAGTATTTTTGTTAAGTGGCTCATGAGGCTGATGGTACGATGCGTTTCACATTCGTTTGCATTAGGTTTCTTTGGTAAAGCTATGAAGATAGATTTTGACAAGTCTGATGGAATATGTCCAGTGGCATACATGTTGTTAAGAAGTTTTGTCAGCGTGGTGATTCCAATTAAAGTCTTCTAAAGCTTTAATCATCTCTGTGGTAATGTTGTCAGGTCCTGCAGCTTTCCCATTCTTCATCTTTCGTATAGTGCCTTGATAACTTCTTCTTTCATGATTGGAGGTCCCACGTTGTTATTTTCCACTATTCTTTGTTCATCTCTTTTGTCATTGTACAGGTCACCGATATATTCTGTCCAACGTTCTAGTATCTTGTCTTTGTCCATTATGATATTTCCATCCTTTGATTTGAGGCATCCACGTGTTCTTGTATGGCACACCTCTTTAATTTTTCTGTGCAGATCTTTTGAGTTCGCATTGGAATGATTTTCCATTTCCTCACATTCTTCTTTTGTCGAATGATATATAGTCACAAAATAACACATGTTTGTGAATTTTGTATCTTGAACAGTCGTTTAGCGTGACTATCTATCTATCTATCTATCTGTCTGTCTATCTGTCTGTCTGTCTGTCTGTCTGTCTGTCTGTCTGTCTGTCTGTCAGTCAGTCTCTTTCTCCCTCTCTCTCTCCCTCTCTCTCTCTCTCTCTCTCTCTCTCTCTCTTTCTCTCTCTCTCTCTCTCTCTCTCTCTCTCTGTATAATACACACTCACGCGCACGCACACACACACACACACACACACACACACACACACACACACACACACACACACACATATATATATATATAGACATATATATCTATATATATATATATATATATATATATATATATATATATATATATATATATATATATATATATAAACTGGACTTAAATAAATACTTTAATCAAATCCTCCTGTTCACTCATGTGAACGTATGCACTTTTGAGCGCCGCAATACAATTACGAAACAACCCATCAAACCTTTTAACCCTTGACGAGGCCTTGGCCTAAATTTACTTCAAATAAATTTGTCGCATCGGGGACTGGTTCAATCGAGCATGAAAACCTCGATCACTCTCGAGGCAGCTGTCTAGACAAGTCCACAGAGAAACGACACATATTAGGATTTTAAACTATATACTAATAATAATAATATCGTTGTAACTTCTGTAGAGATAGGTGGTCTCATTTCCATGCCAATGGTTGTTGAGTTTCATCGAGACCCTCCCCCCCCACTGTAAGAGAGAAAGACCCCCCCCCCCATAAAAAACAAACAAACAAAATAACTCAACCACCAACGACAACAACAGCAACAGCAAAAGCAACAGCAGCAACATCTCTAATCTTCATGGTCACCAATCATCGGTTTGAATGGACAGTGTAGAGATATTCACCGAAAGGGAAAATAGAACATACTCCCCAGACACTCTGTTGTTATTTCGACCAATGAACCATGTCTTTATATCTCCCAATGTTATGAGGAAACTAAGAGAAAACAATCTAAATAGGATCCCAAAAACTACACGGTCAAAGATAGGAGGGAAAAGAACATTACAATTTGAAATATCTCAGAGAAAAAAACCAGGTCAAACAAAAGGACACCAAACCCAAGCCGACACCGCCCCCAGAGAGACAGCGCGACTCCAAGAGGCGGCCCGGCCTCCCCATTTTTTCTCCCCAGGACCCAGAGCCTCCAATGAGAACAGCACCAGCGCTAGAGAAACCCCCACTCACAATACTCAGCCGACACTCAACCGGCACTCTCCGACCCACAGTGGAGCTACCGCAATCAACACTGTTGCCCAAGCCGAAAGGACATCCCCTTCACCGGATGCCCTGCCGCCACAGGTCTGCAACGCCTGCGGCCGAAAAGAGAGGCTGCTTCTTAACCCGTTCATATGCAGTGCTGACGGCTGCAACGAGAAATGTCATCAATCCTGCAGCGGCATCTCCCGGTACTCCAGGAAGCGCGAATGGCTCTGCAGAACTCACTGCTCACCCCCAGTCCCCGTCGACCAAACACCCCGACAGGAGACCTTTGCCAGACGCGAGTGCAGCGTCTGCAGCAGGATGCTCAGGAAAAACACCGGCCGGTTCCGCTGCGACGAATTGGGATGCTCAAGCGAGTGCCATAAGGACGTTAGGTGCAGCCACATCGGCAGGTACCACCCCAAGACAAAATGGAGGACCTATCCCCCTACCATCCACCCCACGGCCCAAAGCCAACTGTAAGGACTGCCGGAAACCAATCAGAGTGAATACCACGCCACTAAGGCAAACGAGCTTGGACTTCGCTTGAAGGAGGGTGATTTCGACATCTGCCTCATCCAGGAATCGAAACTAAAACCAAGTAAGACCTGCCTCTCTTTCCACCAAACTTGCCTGTTGT